CGACTCTCCGTGCAGTACGGAAAAAACCCACAAACCACAATTGCCAGATAATTTATCCAGAAATTTAAATGTCATCTTGATTTTKAGCGCAGTGACCGAGTAGCTAAATACCAAAAATATCCATAGTCCAGAGATTTCTTAACAAAAATGATAATTTATTGTCATCTTAGGACTTTTCAGATGTCGAATAGTGTTCGTGCGACTGAAAAACACCCGCAATGCTTAGCAGACCATTGAATAATTTATACATAGCGAACATAAATGCGGTTTTAAAGGCTTTCTTAGCTAAAAGTGAATATAAACTRGGACTGATTTGACGAAATAAGAAAACAGTCAATTCACAATACACTTAATAATTATAATAATGATAATAAGAATTTGAAAGCAAACATTCAATATGCGGCAAATCAAGAAGCAAACAGAATATCGAGATCACTGTGTTTAATGCTTTTGAGGTTATATTGTAACCAGTATTTCTAATTACTTATGTACTTATGATAACAGAGCTATACAAAAACGGGGAAAACACTATATGATATACTGAACCCAGTTTTTTACGAAGATCGTATATCATAAAGCAACKGACTTACCTTAAATATAAGTTTTAAAAAGGAAAAAGGAAAAAATATTGTTTACCTCGTGCTTAGTTATTCTTAGATATTAGTCAGAACAGCGAAAATAACGACCTTCAAACCATTTAACATATTGGTTAAGCAAAGGAAATTAGAGAAACATTAAGACACCGGAAAATCCAACCAGCGTAAATCCTTTAAAAGGAGGCTTATTGGAAATTGATGACACTTTCTTTATCCCTGCTCTTTTGCTGTATCTAATGATGTTGTATGCCTAAATGCTTTGATGGTTAGCTACAGTGCATGAAATATTGCACAATCTTTGAGCTTCTTTTCTATAGAAAATTAAATTGTTTACCTAAAGATTACGTTAATGATGATCGTAAGTTTGATCGGTGCCTTAGATAGTGGTCGCAAATCGTATYAAAATGTCAGAAAACTAATATGATTGTAGGGATTTATTGTGATTGATATGTTGTTTCAAAGTGATAATCCTGGAGGGAGCTACTCCTTGAAAGGGCGGGGACCTCGTTTACGTTTTGGGGCTAAAASAAAACCCTGTGTCCTWAGTGCTTTATCGAACRAGCAGAAGCGTAGCCCGTACTGTATACCACCTCTTGGGAAGACAGCACCAGGTTATGGTGAAAATAGACCTTCTTATCGATCATTCATTCTAGAATACAGTTCCATCAGTCGATTAGTCTGTCAATCAATTAATCGATCAGTCAATCAATCGATCAGTCAATCAGTCAGTCAATCAATCAATCAATCAATCAATCAATCTGTCAATCAATCAATCAGTCAATCAATCAATCGATTGATCGATCAGTGAATAAATCAGTCAATCAGTCAGCCACTGTTTTCATAATCATTGTCAAAGATCTAACATAAAGGTATCCTTATATTAGCAGGCCCTTAAAGTGCTATGGTTATTAGAAGCCGAACAGTTCCTATGTCATTTTTATGAAATTCTATACGCGGGCGCATCAAAATACTTTTTAAGAATTAAGCTTTCGATCGCCGAATAAAAAGAGGACTTAGAGAAAGCTCGCCTTAATTGACCTTTAATGTGAGGCCCATGTTAAAGTTTGTTAAGCTCTCCAATCAAATGTATACTAAAACGCTTAAGATAAGTTTTGTTGCGAAGGGTTAATGGAACGAGAAATGAAAATTAAGACTGAAGAAGCCATTTTTATGTGGTAATTAAATCTTGATGCTAAAGTTATAGTTCGAGTATCCGTCTGCCTCAGGGGGTGAGGTCGGGGATGTGTTTGTCCTCTGTTACTGCCAAGTGCTGTTGTTGCTGCTGTTGTTGTTGTTTTTTGACTGAATTCATAAATAAGATACACTAAATTCTTAATTTTTTTAAAAATTAATAAATCGATTGATGAATATATATAAAATATTGAGTGAATACTAAAGGCCAGAAAACTTTATAGCTAAAATAAATGGAGTAAAAAAAATTAATGAACGAACGAAAAAAATTGTTTCAAATTCAGTAATGGTCTTGTTGTAATCCATCCTCTAATCTGAACGCTGACATAATGCATAACACTTGTAGTCAAGTAGATATACACCAGTGAACTATGACAAATGTTAATTTGTTTTGATAAAATCTGAACTTTTAGTTTAAGCGTATTAGATCTGATTTCTTTCTGTTCTTAAAAGCATAGTACTTGACATAAAATCAGAACACTCTGGCTCTATAATTCAATCTGATACGTAATCGCAAACCATACAGTTCTGATATATCCGTGATTGCTAATGTCAAACTCTCATTATTCCTCAACTATTGTTGAAGGGTGATAAAACTCATCTGTGTTAGAAGAAACATTGCGTGAGTATCAGTTTTGGTGTATATATTATATTGCAATATTGACGGGTTAGTCCTTGCTACATAGTCTGTGTCCGGATCCGTCGGTTTTCTTCGCTCTGTTTAAAAATAATCGTTATAAATGTGAWTGTGTACCCGTAGGTGATATGTCTAAATCTTGTTTTCGTTTCACAAACAAAACAGTTTTCCCTACAACATAGTTGAGGCACTCTGTCTCATATAAACAGACTCTAACTGTAAAACAGTGTTTGGTAGAATCAAGAGAAGTATAGATTAACGCTGATACATGGAAATGTGTTAGTACTACGTCGTGCGCCTCTCTTTTCCAACTGAACTGAGGTCCCTGAACTGGATGCGCAAGTGGCAGATATGTCTTTGAGAAATAATTTAACACCGGTTACATTAATTAATCCCTCCGTTTGCCTACACTTCCCCTGTWACTGTAAAATTTGTTTGTTCTTCGAAACCATCATGACTTGAAAATAACCCGGTTCTTCCAAAAATGGAGCAGTTTTTTTATTGAAAATCTTTGGACATGTTTTTTCTCTTCTGGTGTGCAGTGCGCGCGCTTTTTCATGTTTGCCAGATGCTCGTCGTTGGTGACTGGCRTCGATGAAATTGACAACCAGTCCATGTTTCGTACTCATAACTATCTTATTGGTTGTGGTAGTTCTAAATAAGATTAAAAACCGTAGTTTTCATTCGTTAAGTAAATATTCATATTTGTTGTTCTTGAGGCCATGTACAAACAGCTGTGTATTGCCTGTAATACTTTGTAATTCAAGCTGATATATATTCTTCGTTAAGTCACATGCCACGTAAACGCCGTTTTATCTATAAAACAAACCAAGCTTCGAGACTGTCCATCAGAACGCAGAAAACATTCTCCGCTTATATAAGCTAAGTAAGTCTTTTTATTTTGTTATGACCTGGACAAAGCCCTTTTACAAAGGGAAAGCTCATTCTCAAAGTTCTAACATAGATTTTGCTGCAAACATTTTCCACATAAGTTCAGTTTTCCTTTACAAAATGTAAAACAAAAWAGAATATCGTGACCAGCTGAAAAAMMMCGAAAACGCTAAGATTCGTACACAACAAACACTTCAAGCTTTTTCAAATGAAAGGATCTCAAAGGGTACATCACTTTAACAAAGTGTTTTCAGTTTATACAAATGCTCCTTTAAATAACCAATCAATGTAGACTATCCAGTGTCTATATTAACGACATGCTATACTGTTTCTTCATAGAACAAGATCGTATCGTAAAAATAAATMAAGACTGCTTCTTTGCGTACAAAGAAATTCTGATGATCGTATCGGTTTATTTACATTACAAAGAGGAAGCAATAGACAGAAACTCAATATTTCAAAGGGCAAGAGAAAGTTTATTTAGTCATTACAAACAAAGACGATTTTAAGTAAAAAGAATTGGTCAATATCAATCACTTGATTATCTTATGTGAGTTGCTACTCTTCCCCYCTTATCTATCTTTCTTGGTTGGTTTTTCGTTATTTTACTATCRTTTCTCTCTTGCCCACCCCTGCTATTAGCACTTTTATTGTGACCCAAAGTCGCTGCTCATTTCCATTTCGTGATTCATGTCTTCAGAAGAGGAGATACTAGAGACATTTTTATCTCGAAAATATATAGACTCTAGAACTATTCAGTGCCAATTCAGTTTTATACAGATGCGAAACGCATCTAATTGATAGGTATATAATTAGTTTCAAAGCCGTTTTGTAGGCATGCAATCTAACCCCATCCGAAAGGTACAGTCTTAAGTGTATTCCCTGTCTACACCGTGTCTCACTTATTAACTATCAGAGAAAGCCATTATTCCTTTCAATTCGTAGGATACAGTTCAATATTAGTCTAAAAAGGTGTACTATTTTGTTTCTGATAATAGACGCACTGATTAAGAGAACCCACACAGACCCTTATCGTGCTTATTAAGAACGCCCATCGTTATTAGCACACCCCCGCTTGCTATTTTTATGATTATATCTAGATATATATCAAAARCGATGTTAATAAATACACCGGAGATCAAAGTCATATCGAATTGGCGCCCATAATGTAAATATATGGGCTGTAGTCATAGACAAGCCTGCGTTGATAGGTACTTTGATGCAAATCCACCCCATTATGGAACGAAATGAAAACAAAATCCTTCCTGAGAAGTCAGTTCCATTATCTTAGAGAAGTGTCATTACAGTTATTTTGTAGCGCAAAGCTATTTGTTATACAAAAGTGTACAAAAAGATATCAGCACTCTTCTGTTGATCTGTATCTATTGAACTCCATCGAATCATATAAAGACTTTAGTAATGCAGAGTCCGTAGTATATCATACTGATCGAGGTGCTCCCTGGTCTGATATTTTCTTCGCTGAAATCTCGAAATACAAGTTAATGGCTCGTTAGCATTTGAAAATACTTTAAAATGACAATACACAATGAGATGTCCTGGCTTTTAGATTTGCTTTGATTATGAACTTTCAATAGATATATTTTTGCTTTAATATGATTGTATTCATTGTGCTATATGTAAAGGGTATTGAAAGTTTCTGTTCATTATTTTTTTTCTGTTCTTAGTTAATCAGATTACTTGGACAAAGGAATTGTGGAGCCACACTGTTGGAACTAAGACCTTGTTCTTCAAAGAAATCATTCGTTGCTTCCGACTCGAAGTCTACCAAAGATAGCCAAATACATCTTAAAAACATTAAAAGTTTAAAATAAAGGAAACTCCTGCCACAAGAACTTCAGAAATTGTCAGATGAATGACGCTAAAGGCCATTTGCATACTGCTAATGGCACTACGARATATTCTTTAAATACTGAAAGAGTAGCAGAGCCCATATCTCGGGAAGAGATCAACTAGCCAAAGAACAGTCAGGAAAAGATCAACCCAGATTTTTGATTGAAATAATCATTTATAGGCGATATTAGCAACATTGCTCTCCAAAACATTGGCCAATATGTTCTGCTTTTAGAGATCTTTTCATAAGCTGTTAATCAGATAGACGCTGATCAAGTTTTCTCTGCGGATTAGCTATAACTATTAGATATCATTAGCGCATATTTATCAAAAAAAMMCCGGATCGTTGACGTAGCCCTGCTCAAGTTCTTTGGCTTATTGGTACCTCTGATTAGAAAGAGAATAATAAGAAAACATAACTATTTAAGAAGGTGTATGTTACGATGGATAACAACACTACAGCAGCACATACGTGCCGTCTATATTCTCTTGACGAGAAAACAGCTGCGATCGTCAAAACTGTCTCTCTGGTGATCTTAGGTTTGTTGGCAATTGTCAGTAACATCCTGATCCTGGCTGTKCTTGTGAAAAACAGAGAGATGAGAACTACAACTAATATCTTCATTGCAAATATGGCAGTGTCGGACTTGATGTTTGGATTGATGGTTATTCCCAAAGAAATCGCTTTGCAACTATCCAACCACTTATGGCTTGTGGGTGGAGACTTTGGTTCGTTTTCCTGTAAGTTTGTCATCTTTGTTCAGGACGTGTCTAATGCTGTGTCCGTATTTAGTCATATTGCTATAGCAATAGAACGCTTTTATGCTGTAGTATTTCCGCTTAGAGCTCGGAGGTCTGGGAAATACCTTCGTATCGTGGTTGTAGCAGCAACTTGGTTTGTTTCGACCGCCATCTATTCTATCTATTTCTATAACTTAAAGATCGTACCTGTAGGCGATGGATACCGCTGTATCAAAGACTGGGGCGACGCATTCGGGGACCCTGATGAGGTGGACAGAAACCATTACTTAGTGTCCTTCTCAAGTCAGTACGCTTTGCCTGTCATCATAATTGCTATGTTATACTGCATTGTATTATACAAACTAAATTGTCGACAAGTTRTTGGCAATGACTTTACGATGAGGTCAGCTCGTGAAGCTCTTCAAAACAAGCGTGTTGTKCGACTAGCAATCTGTATCGTATGCACGTTTGTCATCTTGCAGGCTCCTCTACATATTGTTCTCTTTCTCTTCTTCTTCAAATGGAAAGCGAATGCACCCTGTGGCTGGCARAACCTGTTTTTTTCAGCGTTCTTCTTGACGTGGTCGAGCTGCTTTACAAATCCTCTGATTTATTTTATCTTTAGTGAGAATTACCGCAATGGTTTAAAGAATCTTTTGGGGAATCGCCTTGTAATCCATCCTCGGATCCATCCACGTCTTCAGGTGGGTGAGACGACGGAAGGAGGTTCGGTAGAGTCACGCACAAGAAGCACTCGCTTGCACAGAAATGAGAGGTCAAACGAAGAAACAGTCGCTTAAACAAAACTAATTCCAGTGGCGGATTCAGGGGGGTTCCATGGGTTCCTAGGAACCCCCCTCACCAAGTATAAAAAATAAAAAATAAAATAAATGATAAATGAAATAAAATGAAAACGCATCGTACAATGAATTTTTATTCAATACATTCACGCTACATTTGCTACAGTTCGAGAGGCACAGTAAAAAAGTTCGTTTTAGGAAAATGCGAAAACAAAGTGGAAACCCCCTTTGAAAAATCTTGGATCCGCCACTGAATTCACCTGAACTTTGCATAATGTAAACCTATTCCACGGTGACCCAATACTAACTCTGATGAACGTCTATTAGCCACCGTGATTAGACTAATTTTCAGAAAACCGTGTTATCATGGTTATAGAGTTCTACTACTAGCCATGTAATAATAGGTGTATTTCAAGGATTTATTTCATACATATAWAAAAAAAATATAGTCCTGATAATCTTAATGATATTATCATGCAGTTCCTGGAACATTACTTACCTAGATCCGTCGTTAGCTTGACACGTGCAATTGTATCTAATTATAAGGCTTAATAGTCACATACTATATGGAATTGGTAATTGTTCAGATATTTTAGTCATATATCATTTTTGTAGAACAAAGGAAGTATAAGTAATCCATTGGAGTTGATTAAGAATTGAACAATGTTTAAAATATACCAAAGAGGCAAATCGCTTCTGATARCTTTATTAAGGTAAATGATATGTTTAAGTCGTATAGCTGTTTCAAAACACGTTGAGTACTGATGGGATACTGCAACGYCAATTTGCTGATCGGAGAAATTGGCTGATTTTGTAGTTTTTAATTTGATCATATTTAAAACGAATTCATAGATTGAATTAATAACAAGCGTATTAGATAACAAATAATGATTAAAACTTTGCCATTAATSTAAAATGCTGATATTGTTAAGCAATGGTGTTGGATTTATGTGAACGACTTTGTCTGAACTGAAAAACTGAAAGGAAGAAAGCTTTTGTTTAGATAAAAGTTGTATTAATAAATTCTGATTATTCCTTTATAAARGTTTGCGTCTTCGTTTTGAGTARAGCATAAGTTGGGCCTGGATCTGTAAAGGGTTCATTAGCTGCGTCAATGGAACCCTTCTTGGCGACAGAAGACATTTKCGTTGGTGAAGATGAAGCCTTTGTTAACTCAGAGGATGTCTGTGTTGTCCCAGAGGTAGCTTTTGTGAGGGTGGAGGGTGCATCTGTTGTCCCAGAAGAATCCTTTGTTGGCGCAGAGGAAGCCCCTATTGTCCCAGGAGAAGCCTTTGTTGGGGCAGAGGAAGCCCCCATTGTCCCTGGAGAAGGCTTCGTTGGGGTCGAGGAGACCCCTATTGTCCCAGGAGAAGGCTTTGTTGGGGCAGAGGAAGCCCCCACTGTCCCTGGAGAAGGCTTAGTTGGGGCAGAGGAAGCACCTATTGTYCCGGRAGAAGCCTTTGTTGGGGCAGAGGATGCTTTCGTCGATTCAGAAGATCCACCTGTTGTCTGAGAAGAAACCTTTGTGGGTGCAGAGGATGGATCTGTTATCCCAGAAGAAGACTTTGTTGGGGAAGTGGAAGCACGTTTTGTGACAGAAGAAGCCTTTGTTGGGCCAGTGGAAGCACGTTTTGTGACAGAAGAAGCCTTTGTTGGGCCAGTGGAATAAGAATCTTTTGTTGGGACAGATGGTGCTTTAGTAGACCCAGATGAAGCTTTAGTTGACCCAGAGGATGCATCTGTTGGATTAGTGGAAGCCGCAGTCGATGTGGACGTAGCCACTGTTGACTCCAGTGGATTGTTTGTTGGATTAGATGAAGTCCCACTTGAAGTAGAAGAAGCAGATGTTGAACTAGATGAAAATTCAGTTGATCCCGATGAAACCTTGGTTGGATTAGAGGAAGGTTTTGATGATAAAGATGGAGCTTTGGTGGAGACAGAGGAAGTCTTTGTTGGACTGGAAGAAGCCTTTGTTGGGGAAGTGGAACCCTTTGTTGAAGCAGAGGAAGCTTTACTCGAATGTAGAGAAGCCGTGCTTGCTTCAGTGGGTGCTGACTGGCTACCTGCTGTTAATAAAGTAAATCAGCATTTCAAAACATTTGACAATTACGTTTTAGAGTTTTTAGGACGGTCATAGAAACGTACTCAGTCGTACACTACATTATTTATTAGTAATTCATATTTTTTTTCATGAACTCTGACATAATATTACTGTACTCACCAGTACAACATGGCGGCGCGTTTGGGTGTTGACAACAGGCGTTGTGATTATGGAGGACAGTGCAGCAACCTAAGCAACAAGACGATCAAAATCAAATAAAAWATTATCTTYATCGAGCCCAAAACGATCTACAGAAGGTCAACATGTACCTTGTAGAGTRACGTGCGGGGGAAATCCAGGAGGAAGATGCGAAGCAGGCAGTTTATGTGGATTTGATCCTGGATGTACATGGTTATTCATAACAGCTCCCATTGCTGGTTGTGCGACATTGTACATATCGAGATCTGTCAAGAAACGAAGATTAGAATCTTATCGATAAATTCATTGCACTGTGTTAGTGGTGATGAGAAATGTTTGAACTCCTAAGAAAACTGTGCAAACAACAATAACAATAAGCACCACTAATTCGAGAAATATTCATTTTAGTCATCGGTGAAAAGTATTCTTTACATTAGAAGTATTTRTGTCTAGAAATTCGTGCCAATTTTCGTGCAAAGATGATGACCAATCGTCTATTTCTATATTGCGGACTTCATATGACTTTAGTGTCCTTTATAGAGAGGATCAAATCATGTTCTTACTTGCACCAATCTGTTTTCTCTGTCCTCCAAGATGAYGGACTATTGTCTTCTTGGATCCTTTATGTTCTTTGATGTGATGTTTTSTATGAGTTTTGTGCTGGGTCTTGCCTAAACGATGATCACTTTCGTGAAGCTTCATTTTACTGTTCCTTTTTCTGTTGTGGTTTTCATCGCGTTTGCGTTGTTTCAGGTCTGTGAGATGGTATTTCCTAATGCCCTTAGGATTTTCTTTGAAAGTAAGACCTTCTTGCTGGTCTATATCGTCTATTTTATGATGGCTCTTCCTACGGTCTTTTGGCTGATTGTCTTTAAAGATGAGGGCTTGTTTCTGCATTCCTATGTGACTGTTTTCGTAATGCCTTTTCTCATGGTCAACGTGAATGAAAATTGTGTGGCGCCTGTGAGGGAGCTTTCCACTACCGTGTTGATTTTGCTGGTCTTTTTGTTTGGTTGTGAGATGTGGTTTTCCATGATTATTGATCAGTTTTTTTTCCTGGTAAATATGCTGGGTTTTGTCATGGTTGTTCTTGTGGCCTTTGACATGATGCCCTTTATAATGACGGCATTCTAAGGATTAAATTAAGATTTCAAACGATAAAGAGAACATTTGTTACTTCAGTCTGCCATGCCACTTGGACACTAGGTTTAATAATTACAAGTCAACATTGATATTCAACAACTTTCTGCCAGGAAATCTCTGGATATTACTGAAATRCTGACATTTCGTCTGTTCTCCAAAAATACCCCAAAAGAGTCCTTTTTTGGGATGTATTAAAAATGGTAAAAATGAAAATTATAACTCCCTTAATTGATAGACATAACAAAATAATAGTTTACCTTAACTTACCACTAGACCATTGGTTGAATTATAAGTATATCGCCCTACATAGTAATTAAGAACGAAATCCTCTCTTCAACAGTCTTTTTACATTAAGTGTTTGATGTCGCGGGATTAAAAAGTCCTTAACACTGCACTTCACATCGTTTTAAAGTATGGTATGTCTCAAGAAATTGGCACACTTATGCGTAAAAAATGTATTTTGTCAAGTTCAAACAACATCTAGAATGAAAGGTAGTGATCGGTGAGAAAGAATGAAGCCAATAATTCTAAATCCTTTTCATTTTCGTTGTCTTTCAATATATTTATTGTACAGCGATATTCCTACACTGTAAACACTTTTCAAAATAGTAATGTATCTACCTATTTTAGTTTTTCAATTTTGTGTGACTAGTATGTGGAGGCACGTATTCATACATTCATTTGTATTCATGTATGGTTGAATATTTATTTGTACATTGCCGGTATTTGTACTCACCAATAGTGAAGGTAAACGCCAATATAGTAATTCCAAATGTGATCACCTTCATTGTSCGGCTCCTTTGGATGGGACCCACTTAAAAAGTATGTAATGGAGATCATGGATGTATTTAGTTATTGATAATTGGATGTCCGACCGGTGATATTCTCATGGTGTTACACACCTACACCCTTTATCGTCCCTCCCTCCGATAGGGTGGCATGGGTGTTCTAATGTTCCACTTGACACCTGTCTTTACCGTTGTATCATTGGATAACCGTTAGTAAAAGGCCATTTATGACACTATTTGACTTCATTGTCGCTGTTCTTAATATAATTCTACAAATCAACTTCGATTCACCAATTTTACTTTTTAATCTTTAACCCGTATTCTGGACCTTAGTCATATTTTAAGTGGCTGATCCCATTTACTATCTTACTGCCTGTTTAATAGAGGCCACTGAATAGAGCTTGAATAAAGGGTTAATGGGACTCGTTGCCACGTATAGAGGATTAATGGGTGACCGCTTGGTACAGGTATGTAGTAATGTACTCGATATTGAATTGGTGGCAAATGAAAGCAAAACGTATGACAATGCAACAGAAGTTTATTGTTTTTKAAAATCGTTTTYAAGGATAAATGTTAGTTTACAATGAACTCGCTTAAATCGCTTGGGTGTTACGATAACTCTCATTAAAGTCCGGTAAAACTTCCTCTTTCGACGTTTTCCGGGAACTCTCCCATAACATTACCAGCAGCCTGGTAACGGSCAACAACTACGTAGCAATTTTTTCCAACTAAAAAAAAACAAATGATAATATTAGAATGAGTATATCATGCACGAGACAGTCACAAAATGGCTTTTATWTTGTTGTTGCAGGTTACAATATGCAAGGAGTTTTATTGCAACTGTATTGGACAATTTATTTAAGAATCAAAATATCAAAAGATTTTAAAGTGAACCGTTTTCCAATGGACAATCTTGTTGTAATTTACTTTCTTGCTTACCWTCATCTACATACAAAGCTTTGCCCATTCCTAGTTTAGTGGATGCTTTCCAAACGACTTGCGTGAAATGCCCAGTAGAGGGATAGTATCCAGGTGAGCCAAAATCGTAACTACTAACTTCCTTGTACCATACGTTTACAGCTTGGTCACAGCCATAGTCATCGTCTGTGGAGAGGATTTTGGTACAAATGAATGAATATGAAGGTTATGATGACACTTCTTAGTTGTGGTTGTTGCTGTTGTCATCGAAATTATTGGCAGTGTTGTTATTGTTGTTCATAGACTKAGTATCACACTCAATATCATTACAGAGAGCCTGATTCTCAGACTACGTTGTTCATCGCCGTTCTTTCATTGTCTTCGTCGCTAGTGTTGTCATCGCTGTTACCGGGGGGGGACCCCCTCCCCAACTTAGTCGGGGTTGTGCCGCACGACCCTCAAAACCTATCCCAGACCAATTATTGTGATTTTACATACCCAGACTAAAGGTACATTATATTTTAGCGCTGAAAGCGTGACCTAGCAGATASRATCACAGGCAAAACTWCTCTACCCCAGACAATGAGACTATGCTCTATCCTAGACAAACTTACTTACCTGTAGTTGTACAGTACTTGGCAAGGTTCTCCCCCTGGCCTGGTCTTTCTTKATTTGTCGAGTGCTYAACTTGTTTAGATTCAGCGAGTTTTGTAGCAAATTCTTGGGCGGCCTTGTTAAGTTCAGGGTCTAAGGTCATCGGGGGCGAGTTRTGRATATCTCTCTTGTCGTTGTGAGCTGTAAGTGCTTTCTGTTGACAATCATCTTTGTAAAAATAAAAACCTAATGAGATGATGTGAAATCATGATTTTCATAAACATAGTTTTATTTACCTGAACTCGACGTTGGAGCTTTTGTGGTGCCGCCCGGGGTGGTGCYGGTAGAAGGCTTGGAAGTAGGGTCGACCGTAGCGTCAGTAGGAACGGGGGTAGGGGAACCCGAAGTGGCGTTAGTAGGACCAGGGGTAGTTTTAGTAGGACCAGGGGTTGGCTCCGTTCCTGATATGGCATACAAAAAGTTGATGAATGAGTGTATTTGACTTAAAATCATTTATTAATAGGACAATCTTCACAATGTATTGCATCTCAAAKAGTCGGCCATATTCAGCAGTAGACTTCTTCTAGGATTCGGAATTTAYAGCTTGTTTCTAATGATAAATATTTACAAAGCGTACGGATTACCTGTGTTGTTTGAGCCATAGAGTTTAAGGCTCAATACATAATCTTTTCCACCACTCGTCAACGTAATGTTCTTGTGCTCCCCAGCCTTCATTCGTAGATTCARACAACACGGAGGTTGATTTGCTCCATGGCAGCAGCCGTACTGGTCAGGGTGGGTAGGGAGAACACTACAGCACCCTGAAACAACCATTTCCTGAGTTGAGACACGAGAGCCGGTATTTAACTGATGACAAATATACAACCAAAGGACACTTACCTTGAATTGTCACGTAGTCTGTAGCGTGTGAACAACAGGGGGGAGGATGCGATGACTGACAGCAGTTTCCAGTCTTTCCAACAGGGGGACTTACGTTATGGCAACATGACACCGGGGGAGGTTGCACGGGAGAAGTCGATACGTAGTCTGTGAATTGTCACGTAGTCTGTAGCGTGTGAACAACAGGGGGGAGGATGCGATGACTGACAGCAGTTTCCAGTCTTTCCAACAGGGGGACTTACGTTATGGCAACATGACACCGGGGGAGGTTGCACGGGAGAAGTCGATACGTAGTCTGTAACGTGTGAACAACAGGGGGGAGGATGCGGCAAATGACAGCAGTTTCCAACAGGGGGACTTACGTTATGACAACATGACCCCGGGGGAGGCTGCACGGGAGAAGTTGATACCGATGAGGGGACTACATGAGGCCTGGTGGTACAGCATGGAGGAGGATTGGGTGCTTGGCAACAAAAGAACGGGTCTGTGATACCTGTGTGACCACAGCATCCTAAGTAAAGAATCCAAAAATAAAGATAACTTCATTATTCAGCTTTTTTAAACATTTCTTCCTACTTTTATTGCTGTTTGAGTTATATTTAATTTTCTATCGCTTCAGCGTTCTCGTCATATCAGAGACAATGGYAGTAACTGCTGAGACATTTCTGCTCGCTAAAGGGAGTATCCAAAATCCGTCATTGGGGGTGTCCTTTCATACACATTTCTTACTTTGAAATCTGTTGTCTTTTAAGACAAAACAATAATGAAGGAGCGATAAAACGAACTTTCGCAACCATGTAAGTTTTGAATCCTAAAACTGCCTCAACGATCAGATATTTACTGTTGCTGAGTTTAATTTAATCTGGCTCTGCAAGAAAGGGTCAACGTCGTGAAAGGGAATTCGTAATGATGAAACTTTTTCCAAAGTAACAGGTATTGAATTTTGGAATCCTAAAATGCGTTGGTGTCTAAGAGAAACATCAGCAGAAAGGATAGAGTATTTATAAAAGTAGGATTCTAACCTGGGGAAATCTGCCTAGAATGGGCTCCTTCAATCATTGTTTTCTTGGCTGAGTTGCTGTCCTTAAGGTGTTTTTTCTTGTGTTGTACATGGCGACAGTCTGATTGAACAAATAGATAATTGTAATAAAAGAAACAGATCCACCCTAAAATTGTTTAAACTCGACTACCGTGACTGAAATGARACATTCCTTCTAGAATTGTTGATCGGAAGTCAAAGCAAAGACAAAACATAGTTCTATTTATTTTTTTGGCTGTCCAATAACATAAACAAACATAACAAAATTATCAGCTGAAAAAACAACAACTTTATACTGACAAAATCTCTATTATTTCGCTGACAGTACTTGCGAGGTATACAATTTCATACAATTGACCAGTTTTTATTGAAAATAGGTGTCAGTCACCTTAACAGTAGTGCTCAATTTTAAAGTGTGAAGTGCAGTCAAGTACCGTTATCAGACCTTGAATAAACATACATTGTTGTACATACAGGAAAACTGCATTAACAATATACTTACCAATAACAGCCACAAATACAAATATAACAGCAAAAATAGCAATGATCTTCATATTATAGCAGTTTGAATGACATTGAACTATAGAGCTGAGATGAATAGATGTTTAGTTATTAATAACTCGATGATTGACAGGTGCTGCAATCATGGTACCGCTGGTTGCTGTACTCATATATGTCATGAAGCTACCAACGGCTGTGAATTGAAATAATTGAACCTTTCTTTAATCCTTCGAATCAGACATTATTACAGATCCAGTAATTCTATCCAATAATCTACGTGTCATTACATCAGGTGCATCATGGTTATTTTTTCTGATATTCGCACTTTTCTATGTAGATACCATCTCCCAGATTGAAAATCGATCAGCTTCTTTAGCCTTCGCTTATCTAAACTAATTTTAACATTTTCTGCAGCCTAATTATGAAATTTTAACCTACATTTTGATATATTTATAAACAATTTCATRTCAGTTTGTTGGTTGTTGGGAGGTTGTTGGTCTTGTTGCTGTATGTATTATTAACAGATTCTTTGAAGTTATGACTAGGAACAATAAGTGACAGAAAATCTGAACTGAAAACAACGGGAAAATGCAAAACATTTGTGCAAAATCSAAGTGCGGAAGAGGAAATTGAAGGGAGAAATKGGGAGGGGCTCAGATAATATCTTTACTGTTTTTGTTCCTCAATGAGCTCTATTTGCGGAACTGCCTGAGGATAAATCTAATMACTTGAGTAAGGACGTCATAAATATGCAGGTGAAAAGAAAGCCACAAGAAATTCGCAGCTTTTAAAGAGGTTATTCTTGACGCAGTCAAAASTATTATTTACGTCCTTTTCAAGTGTTTTAATTATCTTAGAGGGTTATGGGCAGTTAGTAATAATTATCATCCAAAAACATGCATTGCGTATTTTTTTCTATTTATCACTATGTGGTGAGCACGTTTTTGTTTTTATTGTGTGCACTCTAGTGTTTACATTATGATCACTATAGCTCTATTTCTCATGGATTTCACAAGAGTAAAACTTTAAGTGCGCAACATTTAGCAATATTAATGGTAAATAGGTCTATTTGTACTATTTAGTGCTAGTACACCATTGCTATTCAGCACTTTCACCTTGAAAGTACTCTTCTGTTTATGTCGGGTAATGTCATCTCTATACAATACAAGGATTTCATTGTAGATATTCCCCTCTACATAAGTATTTCGGCATTTCTATGTGGATTTGATTGACGTTCACCAAGCTCCTATTAATGTGGACTATCTTTTGTCGCGCGCAACAGCAAAGAATTCTTTTCAAATAAACTCGGAAAGACTTTCCTTGAAAAGTGAAYAAGTAAGGATCAAGAGATGCATTCACCGATACTAGAAAAGCTGATATTGATAAAGCGTGTGAGAGTAATTCGTTATCTCTATCGACTATCGCTGTTGAAAGACATGTTAACTTCTCTGGKATCCAACAGATWATAAACGTAACRATTACAAGAAGAGCAGCCCGAGTAACTTTCCTTCTCTGTTTATATCTTCCAAGCTGCGAAGGCTGGTGAGCAAACCTGCCTAGGACYAGTCTATTACTCCATAAAACACGGCTTGTTTTTGATACAAGATRTGCCATAATGCAAAGAAAGAGAAACCCTTCAATGAAGAACAGCAGAGAGAATGCTCGACGAACGTTTTGACTGAGAAAAGTCCCGTTTTTACAGTCATTAAAAATAAATGAATAGATATTGGTTAGTCCTCCATATACCCATGACCCTGCTATCATAGCCTTTATATTCCTCATACAGAACATTCGACGGAACCTTAGGGGCTGACACACGGCGTAATACCGCTCGACAGACAAAGCTACCATAGTGATCGATGATGCTGCAGCAGCCAGCCAACTTATGTTAGTTAGGATCAAGTACTTGCACTCTAAGGTGTGTCGATTRCGTTTTGAGTACCAGGGAGAAGCGATGTATTTTGGTGAAGCAAAAATACCAAGAACTAAGTCAGCGAGTGCCATATTTAAAAGAAGGTAGTTAGTCGTAGAGGTTCTTGCTTTTTTTGTWGAAATAATGTAAATAACAAGCGTGTTGCCTGCAACGTTGAACACGAGTACAGTTGAGAATAGTACTGCCAAGACAACGCTTTCAGCCATCSTTTACGATATTAGTCCGGCAYATTTGCGAATCATACCAGGTTGACTTCGTACTTGATATGTGACTGTCKGTAGTGTTCTAGAAGTGAAGTGTCGCCACTTCCTTCCTATTCTCCAAGGTAAAATAAAAAACTCACCAAGGTCGGAGARCGTTTGATCTATAAGACTACCTCCTTTGTATATGCCTAAGGGAAAATCAATTACCAAAAACTAATATATCTCAGTTATTATGCCTTATTACGACGATCGCTCTTCTAGAAATAAAAGYACTCCAAATATTAAACAAGATTCGGAAGCATCTGGGCATCAAGTGCTGTCAGGCGGAGAAGCTTACCGGGAACAGCAATAGCTGGGAAGCGCTTTAATTATTGTTATTTATTTGTTTTTCATTACACTAGAGATAAGAAAATTAACTAGGAACTAAGGTTATCAGCGAATATGTTCTGATTATATATATGTCGATCATTTAAAATGCGGTAAATGATATAACTTTCAAATTTTTCAATTTTTCATTTCTTGCTTGTGTAGTTTGCTTTTTATTCTTTCCCTATCTTTTATTCAAAAGCTTTTAGCTCGAACAAAAACATAAATACCTAACAGGGGTTTGYGACAATATTGTTGAAAGTGAGAAGTCAAGCCGTTCTTGTAGCGATTCTTCCACATAAACATATCTGGAGGACGATTATGAGTGATTGATTGGAGCCATTTCCACGGTCTGTGCGGTTCCAGATGGCAGAAATCAGAATGGAAAAACATGCTCGCAAGGCATGTTATCCTTTATAAACGGGATTTTCATAATGAAAACAAGAGGAAAGCACAAAGGAAGCTACAGAACTTTCTTTTCAATTTCTTACCTCACGTAAATCCATTCGACATAACAAAGTGGTTGCGGAAATCCTTTATTCTCATCTATTTACTTATAATTTTTTTCTTAATCCACGTTTGGTGACGAAAGGCCTTATGGGGCCTCTCGACACTATGTCACCGTGCTAAGTGACCGAACCGAGAGTCTCAATGGAGTTAAYCGTGAGCCGTGAAATGGCTAAAAAAATAGCCGTGAGTCGTGAAAATGAGAAAAACATTAGCCGTGAGGCGTGAAAAATCCAAATTTTTAGTCGTGAAACGTGATGCATTGAGACCCTCTAATAAAGTTATAAAAGATCTTTTCTTACTTAGATACTATTTTTGGGATTTTTTGAACACTTTAAAACTCCCGCTCATTTAATGCATCAAATACGATAATTGAGCGGGAGCCGATCGTCACGCTAAGTGTGACAAGAAACCAAAGATGCACAAAATAGAACGTTATAATATAAATCGACATCTTTTTGAGATTGCTAATAAAGTTATAAAAGCTCTTTCCTTACTTAGATACTATTTTGGGGATTTTTCTTGTATACTTTAAAACTCCCGCTCATCTAGTGTATCAGAAACCTTACGCTATGCCATCCTTCAGATCAGAAGGATACATCTTCGGAAGCCTTTCCGACGAACCGACTCCGAACCCGACGACTTGGATCCGATCGTTTCCGAACATTTGAAGAATTCAGTTGCTGGTTTTGCGACATTTTCTCGTTCCTTTTCACTTGCTATCCAATATTTATCGTTTGCTGACATTAACCATTAATAAAAATGAAGTTCTTGCTTAATTTGAACACTTTTATCATGTAAATCGAGCGACGAAAGCTTATTGCAAAAGATGTCCTATTCTTTGACTTCTTAATTACGCATCATACGCGTGCATTATTTCGTCAATGAAAAAGCATAATTTAAGAATTTTAAGAATAAAAAAAAAAGAAAAGAAAGAAAGAAGAAAAGAAAACAGGAAACATAAGAAAAAGAAACAAGAAAAAAAGAGAAATTCCAGCAACAGGATTCGAACTCAGGACTTTCACTTCAGTAGAAGATGCACCCCCCCCCGGAATACATAAGAAATAATGAAAATAAAAAAACTAAAAAGATGGGACGATTCCCCCGAGACATTCTATGAAGCTGAGGCGTCGAATCGGCTTACGTTACGGTTAGAGATTTCGGCTCTTCCACGCTATCCCCAGTGAACATAAAACTTAGTCTTAACCAAAAGGCCAGGGAGTGAGGGGGTAGCCGCCCACTAGAGCATACCTTTAGCTACCCTCTTAGACCATCGTACTATGAAGACACTTAAGATATCTGATAGCTAATGGGGGTAGTCTATTCGGTGAAGTTCTATGCTAATATATGACGTCATCAAAATCCTTAGGGAGAAGCGAGCCAATCGGAGCTCAGATCAGGAATTAGCAAACGATACAGGGTTTGCATAATCAGTCTTCAGTGGATTTATTTTTTGATGGGGGGTGGGGACGGGGGATGGTGCCGAGTGCCGAGTGCTGATTTGCGGCCGAATACCGATGTTCGATGTAATGTGACGGCTGTCACCAAGCTGTTCAWGGGGTCGTTATTGTTTTCCAAATCATCACAGGAAGAGGTGTACAGTTCTTATATCAGACAGACACCAGGGCACAAGTCTTGAAATTCTTAACGTAAGTGGTTTACAAATCAGGCAGATATTTGCTGGAATTCCTAGAACGTTCCATGTACATTTTCGTTCTTGATGATATAAAATATAAATATAGTGAATGTTAACAATTGAAGAGGAAGAATGATAATCCGTAGATAAAATTGATAAAGAAATCAAGGAAAACTTAGCAAGCTTTCGCTTCTATAATCTATAATCAGGCGAATGATATTAATTTTAAAACATGGATGTAAAAATAGTCTCGATAATAAAAACATTTTATCGAAGGAAGCGTTCGAGAATTTATCATGAGTTTATAAGTCAACAGATACAGAAAGATGTCTTTGATTACAGCTAAATTAATGCTGTAAGGACCGGTCCATGTCGTGGATAAATAAAATCCCTTTTCCGAATCTTTTCAGACGGATACGTTTACTGTAGGCAGGGAAACTGCTAGGGCGCCCCGCGTCAGGCCCCACGGGAGGAATGATCAACCATCACAATAGGTTCCTTGGCCCCTGGGAATCGCCGCCTGTTGTGTATTTATAGGCCACGTAATGGTTGATCGCCACGTTATGCTTCTAGTTCCTTGCGTTCCAGCGAATACAGATGATTCAGAAAACGCTGTATACTGAAAGGCCCAGTGTGCTCATTATGATTTGGGGGCTGCGAGGGCCTGGGGCGGCCATTTTTGTGTGTTTCGAATCTTTGACCATCTCACTTTTCTAAGCACTGTAAATGCTAATATAAGAGTTTTCAACCATSTGAAATTCGTTTTATGGTAATATTTGGATACTAGAAGTATTTTGGTGTAAATCATAGCAATAGCAGATGCGCGCAAAGCATAATGGTGCAAACTGGGCCTTGAAGATAGTGTATTCGAAGTTTACTAAATCTCTTAATGGCCTAAGTCACATGCAGTCCTCGACTGCATTTTTTTTTTGTTCTCCTTCCATTGAAATTTCATTATCGTTCTTAATTTCTTTTTGGCAGGTGTTGTGGGAGCCCTGTTGCATACCCTATGATGCGTYACCACTGACCCAATAGCATTGCAGTCTCCACAACAAATACACTGTAGTGCAGAACTCTGACAAGAAGAAATCTATCAAAATGAATCCTGTTCGTAAACGGCCAGCTTATTTATGTAAGTGTTAGTGTATTTTATTTGTTTAAGATACTTTATATGAATTCTATAAACTGTTTTATATCGCATTAGATTTACTTACGTTTTTGTAAAGCAAAATAATCTATTCAAGTTTTAAACGTATCTATCTATCCTTCTATCTTTAGTTGCAAAAGACTTTCAGATAGAAAATGTGCTGGGAAATCTRCAGGTAGTACTTTCAGTTATAAAGGTTCCCTTTTAGGTAGTGACAATGATATATTTTTTCTTATACAGGGCTACAAGATTGCTAGTGGTCAATTGGAGAAAAGAGATCTTGATAATGTAACACAGAGATTTGGTAATAACTTCATATATAGTTTCTCTATTCAGTGTGTTTAACATGACTCTAGAGAAATAATTATTGTATGCAAGCATGCGCAATAGAGTCAATTTCGTATGAGTGGGAAACATATGGTAGAAAGTACCACACGGTTACTGCACAGTTACCAGACCTGGCCTGCACAATTTTKGTGAACCAATGGGGMACTWSAATTTGGYTACAGTACGATTACGGTCACAGTACAGTACCGTCCGTTTCCCACTCATACGAAATCCTCTCTAAGTTGTTACTACATAGGAAGTTAATCTTTGCAGTGTTTTAATATTCTATTTAACACAAATGCTTGTTAAATTCTAATAAACTACTCTTGTAGGTAATGATGAAGGGATTGTGTTTGGATCTCTAATTACAAAAGCTGGAGAAATCAAAGGTAGTTTGTGTTATAAATAACATAGCAGCATCATTTCCACTCCCATAAACTACTTTAAATTGGGGGAATTGGGCTAGGCTTTGAATTTACWGTTGTTATTCATATGTCTCAAGGAAGTGAATATGTGGATGATRAGAAGACAGAAATTTCAAGCAGTAAAAGGAAAAGAAGAAGAAGAAAACGAAGAAAAAGGAACAATGATGATAAGCCGTTGTCAAATATTGGTGTTTGCTCAGTTAGTGAACCTCTATCCATTCCAACATCAATTTTGGGTAAATATTTAATTACTRTATGTCTAAAAGAATTGCAGACAAGATAGAAACAATAGGTACTAAAGCTAATCAGATAATAAGCCACCTTAAATAATACCAATCACATTGCAGTCTTAAAAATCAAAAGACTAATGGTTTTTTTTGTTACTCCGGAGTAATCCACTATGTCGTCGCGATGTAAGCAAGCAAGCAATCTGTAACACAGGACTTATAGACCATATGAAAAAGGGTGTGGCTATCGTAACGCCTGACTTTATAAGTTGTATAATAATTATATCATTACTACCCGTTGAAAGAACATATTATGRTGAGTGAGATCTGAAAGTTTCAATGCCCTTACACTTTAGGAACAGAAGTTACAAGTGCTTGAAATTGCAAAGGTTTGAGTGAAAATACGTATCAAGGCCTTAGYAGCCTCGTTTTCACAGTTTTGGTACATTTTAAGTCCTCGTAGCTCTGTCGACATTTCACCATTTGAAACTAAAAATACACCAATTCGCTAGTTTAAATATACTCTTTCTTATTGTGAAAACAGAGTTATAAAAACATGGACGCTCATTCCTAGTCTTTTGCTTGTTTTTCATATGGTCAATAGGGTTTCAGAAGTGTGAATTAAAACATGATATCCATTTCTTTGATCAGAGTATGGATCAAGTGATGAGGATCAGTCAAATACCAAAAGTTCCCATTCTGATCAAGATGACCAGGAAAGTGAAGACAGCAATTCTGAAGAGGATGAGTCAGTAGATTTCTTTGGTTTAGTACCTGATAAGGTATGTCATAAATTCAAAATGATTACCCAGGTTGAACATCTTAGCAAGATTCATGGAAGATCATGCATGATCTTACCATGATCTTTCCATGATCATACCTTGATCTTGCTAAAACCATGCAAGATCTTTGTATTTCTTGCAGATTCTTACAGGATCTTGTCAAGATCCTGCCAAGTTCATGGCAAGATCTCACCATTTCATGGCAAGATACCATTCACACATTTGCCTTAATTTTAAATGATCTTACAAGATCATGACATGTTCATAGTATCACCATAGCAAGAACTTCAATAATCTTGGCATGAGCTTAATTTTATCATGGCAAGAATCTCAATAAATTATGGCATGATCTTGATTAAGATTTGGTTCTATACCTTACTGTACTGCACTAGGTACCCTATCACACTAGGTAGACTATGATACTGTACCGCAGTAGGTACACTAGGTACACTATCACACTAGGTAGACTATGATACTGTACCGCAGTAGGTACACTAGGTACACTATCACACTAGGTAGACTATGATACTGTACCGCAGTAGGTACACTAGGTACACTATCACACTAGGTAGACTATGATACTGTACCGCAGTAGGTACACTATCRCACTAGGTAGACTATGATACTGTACTGCAGTAGGTACTCTATCACACAAGGTACACTATCACACTAGGTAGACTTTGATATTGTACGGCACTACTAATGCTACAATGAGTGAATTCAATGTGTGAATGAATGTTTACTTAATAAATCTCAGGTTGGACCAGAAACTTCAGTAAAAACAGATGCAAAAATTACACTCAATGAAAGCACATTTCAAGAAAATGAAACTATACGGTAAATATAATACCAGCACTAAATGGTGTCATTTTGCATGAAAGCATCAATTTTTTTAATACTGTATAATTTGATTGCAGTTATTTTGAAAGCTGTAGTCATCCTTACCCTGAGGCCAGGACTGACATGGATGAATGGGACGAAGATAAGCAAAGATACAAAGAGAATACAAACACACTATCAACTTATAAATGGTGAGTATAATTGGACTCTCTCCACCTTAATATACACCAGCATTCCTATTATCCCTGTGCAGCCATTATGAGGCCTGTTTTCAGATCTCTCCCTCTGGGAATGAGGGAGGAGAGACCTGGGAATGAGCCTCTTATCAGTTGCAAGAGGAGACCACAGCATTCCATACTCTGGTATGATTCTCCTTTTGGTATTCGATGAAACATTGTTAATTATTATTACAGCTGTTTAATCATAGGTCGCCAAACTCTACTGATCATACTTTTAATATGCATCTAACATTATGTATTTAGTTGGAAGTGTAAGAGAATTGGTCACTTAGCAGAAGACTGTACTGTACAAGTATCATCAGTTAGTAGAACACATAATGAAGAACAAGCCACACCAAGCATTTTAAGAGATTACTATAAAAGGTACACCAGACTTCCACTTTCTCTGTAGAATGTAGGCTTCTCTCTTGACCATCTTTTCTCTTTGGATTTCCTTTGTAATGGTTGTTGGAGACCAACATAACACAGGAAACCCAACTTTTAATTATATATAATATACATCACCATGAATTCCTTGTTTTTCTTGCAGATGTCAGGCTTTTCGTAATGCCAAGGATGCCAAGTGTTCAGAGTGTATTGCAAGATCCAACCTTGTCTCATGCTTAGACTGTGGGTATGTTGTTTGTACATTTTTTGATCAAATTGTTCAAAGGGATTCTGTTTAGATGGTGCTACATGGGTTGTATTGCTTCCTTCCTGTCATCAACTGCATTGTATGTCATATTAAGACAAGCCATTTAGACAGTAAAGACATGAATATTAGCCTTAAAGTACTTACAATATCTTCCTGGGTTTTTCAGGGTGATATTTTGTGATGGGCGTGGCCATTTAACAGACCACCTTTTGTCCTATCCCTCACATAGCAAGCTATATTCATTTAAACTAAGAAGACTGGTGAGTAACATTTGAGCTTGAATCGACACAATTACTAGAGTGAAAATTCAAATGTTTAAAAAACACAAATGCAAATTATACACCACTGGGATATTCAAAGTCCAATTAGCACTAATCCAGGGTTAGCATCATAGGTTAACCCAGGATTAGCGCTAATCGAGCTTTGAACAACTCGGCCCTAGAGCAAGAAAAGAAAAAGAAAATTATCAATTCTTGTGTTTGCGTTTGAAGTATTGCGGCCTTAGTATTGTTGAGTAAAAGTTTCTTTCTTGTCTTTATTAGATCAAGTGCTGTAAAKCAACATGTCCTGTTGTGGATGCTACCAAGTTATTCATGTGTTCAACATGTTTGAGTAAACAATTCAACAGTCATTACAACATGATCAATGCTACTTGGTCAAAATCAGGGCTCAAAGGCATTCCCAATACACTGGCCTGTGAACAGCACTTTCAATGGTGAGTGTATCTTTGTTTAATCAGGGGGGAGGGGCTGGGGTAAGATTGTGAATGCTCATTTCACTGGGAACTACATGTATGTATTTACAGTATGTTGTCAGTAGTGAATAAACATACACCTACTTGCGAAAACGTTGTCATAGAAAATAGGACATTTGTATTAGTAAAACAGAATAAATTAAAAAAGACAAAAGAAGATCACTGAGGCTGAACGCTCTCTTTTGACTTGTTTTAATTTATTCCTTTTTACTAAATTCAAATGATTGTTCTATTTTCTATGACAACGTTTCTGCAAGTAGGTGTACATTTTCTCCAGATAAAAATAATAATATAGTTTATGACATATTAAATTGATTAATTATAATATCATGGCAATTACTACTAAGGGTGCTTTCCATTTAGGCAGAACTGGCCGKCCAGTCCACTCTATTTAGAGGTATATAATGCTTTTTGTCAACATTTTTCAGTCATTTCGAGGTTTTCTGTACAATGATGGATAGAATTTGAAAATTCATATTTCCTAACTAATGGTGATATATAATGACATTTTCTCTGGGTCTGGCCATCCAGTTCTGACAAATAGAAAGCGCACTAACTTACAATAATCAATATATTAATCAATATAAAGTTAAACACACCATAAAACTACCACAACCTTGTAATTTGCACTTAGAAGAACAAATAAGCACATGAAAGTTACTTGATGAAATTTTAATTTAAAAACTTTTCTCTCTAAGATTTTCTTTAACCCATCTATATCCTATTCTCTTGTCTCTTCAGGCATAGAATAAACTGCATTAATACTATGGAAGAACCACTACTTTGCCAGGAAAAACTGGAAAATGCAAAACAGCAAAATGATGGTCTACTAAGTGAATTTTACTTCTAAACTTTTCTTTTAAAACAATTATCAATAAAACAGTACAAATGACCATGTTTTTCTTKAAATAATAAATTATTTTTACAATGAAGCAATGACTTGATTTAAAATGCTAGAAATAGGCAGGGAGGTTAATCTATAAAAACATGAATAAACTAAATTCAAATTAAATAAACTTAATTAAATAGATAACAGAATAACGAATTAATGAAGTAATTTTTATTTACAATTTTCCTAAAGTACACTCAAAATATTCATATMATTGGAAAYCACACATTTACCATTCCAWAACCAAGGTTCTTAGCTGTTTTKAATTAATGTTGTCATTAGTCAATAGTAATGCTATATTATATTGTAATAGTATTAGTATATTATTAATGTTATTAATGATGTAATGAGTGYTTATATTAGTTGTTAGTTTATTATTTTGCTAGCCAATCACTGATTAGCAAATGATGACGATAATCCACGTACCTTGAGCTGCCAATCAATAGACCTCTGCAGCTTTTACGTCATGTACCGTATACGCAATGCATTGTAGGATATGTTTGGGACAGAACATGGCGGATTTCTTTTGTTTTCTCTTGAAACTGATCCCACAATGCATTGAAAATCAAGTAGTGACATAAAAGATTCAGAAGTCTATTATCCAATGATGTCGCATACTGTCATTAACATGGTGTTATCAATGTTATAAGTTGATTAGAGACTCAACGACATTTTGTTCTGCCATCCTGTGTTAGTATCTTTCTTGTCTGGGTATTAATTACGTGTAGTTGACATCCAATAATGCCATGAGTTGATTATTGTTATCCAGTGACATAGGTAGATTAGTTTAGATGATTAGCTGTTATCAAGTGATGCCATTAGTAGATTAATAATTATCATCTAAAAACTCAATGAGATCCTAAATCAATTAGTTGCTGTTAGCGTTATTAAGGTTGTTTTGTTATATTTTTAGTATAGTTTATGTATTGTAGTTGATTAGTATTGTATAATCAGCCAATGTAGGTAAATTAATCAGTTTCTTTAATGATCATCAAATTTATTAGTCATGATTTAATGATGCTCATTATCAAATTAATGCCGTTTTACAATCATCATTAATTAGTTTGTGATCATTGCCATTAGTGATATTTTTACTCATTTCCTAATTTTTTTCGCCATAGCTTTGAACCGAAGTCTTTTCTGTGCTTTTGTTACTTCATAGCTGGGCAATACTACCACACAGAACTCTGTGCGAAATTCAATATAAAAATTATTAAAACAGAAGCATATGAAGGCAGTATTCAAACAGATGCGTTTCCGTAGCGGTTTCGTATTAATGTACGTCCTCAAAAACTGAAAAACAATACAAAAATGCCTTAAAAACGCATCAATGTAGCGATCAATGTAGATCCCGTGCGTACATGTACAACCAAGTAGCAATACCCAGACTTCCATGCGTTCTAAATGGCAGTACCCAGAGTTCCATGCGGTCTTATCGCGTATTTTTTAACATTTTGAAACATCAGTGTTTCACTCACAATCTGTGCATCAGCTTTACAAAACAGCCTTTTTTTTGTGTAGCATAAGCAGTCATAGAATGAATGGACTTATAATTTCTTAATACTTCATAAAATAATTTGATGCTCTGAAATTACCAGAGCAAACTAACTACAAAAACGTTGCCAAATGTTCACGTTACTTCAAGCTATTTCTAAGTAACGTCTGAGAWAAAATCTATAAAATTCCTAAAATGCAGTCAAAATAATATGCGTAATAAATATTAATTAATTGATAATTAATAGTGATTATTAATGTCCATTAGTAGTTCATACACTTAGAGTGTTAAACACAAAGAATGTCAAATTAACCAAGAACTATAATTCAAAGTAAAACTTAACTCTACAAATGCTAAACTAAGTTTAATTTACTCCAATCAGAGCTTTAAAACGCCTCTGTAAACGTGTTYTCTTCTGACTTGACACCAGTCTTGCTCGTYATTTAGTGCCGGTTTCCATCTTTCCAATGCTGTTTTCGTATAAGGAAAAGCCTTCCATATAAGGCAAACATCCTGTTTGATAAGTCCTATTCCATATTAGGAAAGTTTTTTTTTTCCATATTAGGAATGAGTTGTCAGTTTTTTTATATATCTTCAATATGAGATTTATCATTCTGTATAAGGAAGTTTTTCCCATAAAAGGAAAGTATTTTTTTACATACAAAAGAAAGCTTCTTTATTGGCTGAGGATAATGCTGCTTGAGGCGCATCGGGTGGTCTGTGAGGTCATGTGACTTCCATATACATGTACCTCCATATATCAATTACGTCATTTTGGATGTGCAMTCGAATTGGTCGATTCCAATACCACCCTGCATCGCTAACCTTCTTAGCTGTTGAATCAATTCTTATTGGCTGGTAGCTATCTCCAAATAAGGGCAATAATCCCATAAGTCACCGCCAGCAGTTACTTAACAAAAACAGTTAATTACATCGTGGCGTAACTAGGTCTCTGAAGGAAGATCATAGCTGTTGATATGGAAACCGTTGCTATGAACAGCAGCAGAAATAGCCTGTCGATTACCTTAGCAACGGACTCCCATTCTTCCTTCACCGATTCGGTCTTTTCTTGTTCTCGGACTCGTTCTGTTAACACAGTGATCCCRTCAAGTAGYCGGTCGTAAGACTGGTTTCCAGAACCTCGGAATCGCACACTGTTGTCATTGACCGTTGAGATAATGTCACGTGAGTTAAGAATCTTGTCTCCTACTTTGGTCGGTGTCATGACAATCACGTCCTTGGGACAGTTGTGGTCGTTCTCCACAGGGTTCCCGTTGCTGTCGGGGAACATTGGCACGTACCCATGTGTRTAACTGTTTCCCATGGTCAGTGTGTTATTCTTTTTGGGTGTTTTCTCGCGTGGTTTAGCGACTCGTAGTATAGGCCCTAGGTAATCAATTAAGACTACTCGTAGCCATTGAGGGACATCTGATGAYGGTCCAGTTGATTCGTAGATATTAAGCACAAAACATGTAGCGATCAATGCCAGTCCKATCTCAACCATCGAAGCCACGAAGAATTTWCCGATTAACGGAGTAACGTCGGAGGTTGTCGGAGTATTCTCGGCAATCATCAACATGAATACGGTCATAGCCAGTAAGGTAGTGATAACAAGGGTAACTCTTTCGCCAGTGTTGGGTGGTAATACAAAGGTCAACAGCGCAAAGGCTGTGATCAAGAAACAGGGGACAATAAGATTGTTGAAGTAGAACAAGACTTTACGACGAATATGTAGCGTGAAGATGATGTTTGGATACGGCTCAGGACAGCAGCTAAAATAGATAAACATTAAYAATCAATGATATTTATCTGTACATTTTGTTTATGATTAATAAACACCCCAGTACGTGCTATTCGGCAACCATTAGAAACTGGGAGTCTTGTTTGATGTCAATCAAATCAAAGGTTGCGGCTTATCAATAATGCCAGAATTTCCATGAGATATATAGGTTCCAGACTACAACCAGTTTATTTATTAAGATCATTTTAAATTCCATTACAGTTGAATCAGCACTCGCAGTTAGTCTGGGACTATTCGAGGTGAGGGCGATAAAAGAAGATTACTTCTAGGAATGCTTGATTTTAGTACCTGTATTTGATGATGATTCTGTCCACRGGAGCATCAATCATTTCAAACTCTCCACTAGGCATATAAGCCTTAAGATCCACAGCAGCGCTCATATTCACAAGATCAACCCTTAAACCATCATACGTCCACGAACCAAACTGGAGCTTACACTTTTGGTCATCAAATGGGAAGTATTTAATGTCGATAGCGCATCTACTGCGCAGAATCGTTGGCGCATACCACGTGTTTGTACCGTCAGAACTTAGTATTACTTTAGTCTTGAACTGATCCATAGAACCGCTGGTTATACCGCTGTCWGCACTGTRGGCACAATCATACATTTCATTAAGTTGACAGGCAGATGTTGGTATTCCTGTGATAATAACGATTTGTTGACAAATGCGGTAGTTCTAATTACCACGTGGTCCCTAATATTCGTACTTACTTGTTATATAGAATTATGTCCGGTAACCAAACGAGTTTAGGATCAACGTTGATAGATTTGATTCCGCCGTAAAGAGTCGAATTCCATCGTAGAAGATGGTTATTCCATTTCTAAAAAGCAATGATAAAAAGAGTGGTTGATGTAGGAGCAGAAGCCTCTTTCACCAGAACCTTTGATTATTTTTAAACGTTGCTTACCTGTCGAATCCAAACATTGCTGACTAAAACTTGATTTTTCTCGTCCTGTAATGGAGACATAATAGAAATTATTATCATCATCATTCAGGCTATTTTCATAGTGACGTATCCAGGAATGCCTGTGGGGTAGATTGCAGTGCACATACGTTTGTCTGTAGGGTTGGTAACCACAGATGCTGCCACATAACAGTATAAAATGTATAATTACGAATAAGAGGGCGCGGTGTGCTCCACCCCGATCCTACTTCATTCATCTTCACTGCTAAAAGGTTGTCGATGACCTGGTTGTCTTTTGTTGTTGTTGTTGTTGTTGTTGTTGTTGTTGTTGTTGTCGCTGCTGTTGTCTATAACTCACCAGTTCAACAAGTTGAGTGTATGCCACACCAAAGCGAACAAGGATGGCAGATTCTTTCTCTTTAACTGGCCGAACTTCTTTACTGTAGTTTTGAAACAGGTCTTGAACTAGTCTTAACTCATCATCGTCACTCTTTACTACTGCCTCTACTATAAGAACAGAAAAAACAACATGAGAATTAGAATTTTTCCAGGCTCGTATTTTAACGAATTGCGCATGCGCAAAAACGTAGGTATGAAATGCGCCCACGCTCAGGGTAGATCAGCAGTTAATAAATTTCTCAAAAACATCTTAATARAAAGAGATGAAAATGCTTCAGAATGATTTGTTTTGTTTCTTTTGAGGTAAACATCTTATCTCTTATTAACTTTGTATCTTGTATTGATATATTCAGTACAGTATTTGACAATTTAGCTTTAGATGTTGACAACCCCAATAAAAAAGGTGACGACTTTATATTTTTTTATTTCTATTTGAAATTAGTTTTCTTTAAGTTAAACAAATAATGAATTTGAAATACAATTCGTTAGAATTCAGCTATTACACTTGTAATTGTTGGTTCGTTTTTAATTATTTTTTGCTACAAATCATATCGCAAATGAATCTCAAAGTAGGGGGTGGTAATATTAGCTAAAAGGATTGGTCCTCTACWATTTCTTAGTGTATACAGATAATGGTTGTGGGATATGGCTCATTGTAATTCAGACCATAATTGTCTTCCTTTTTTTGATACATTCATTCCTCAAACCTTGAACAAAACRAACATCAGAAATATTGCTCAAAATCTGAAAAATGTCATGACGTTTTCGAGGGAATTCGACTCTTGAACCTTGTAATAATAACTGTTGTTCTATTTTTGAAGATCTCCTGAACATCCTCAAAACATATAAGAAATGTCAATTAAGTATACACTAGTGATCGCGGCGAAGTACCAATCAATCGACTGTCAAGTCATTTTTGTTATCTCTTTTCAATCGTGTATTTTTCTTAATTTTGTCATCATTTTCTTGATTTTTTCATCATCAGTCAAACGTAGGTTTTGCTAAATTGTAAAAGTGCCAATCAAGATTCAGAAAGATTATTATTATGACAAAAAACTGTCCGTCTGGCTCAAGGCCCAGCGTGTGGAATGCCAATTCCAGCCAGGCTATCGATATTTGTAATAGTGTTTTCAGTGAAACCCTCATGTATTGCCCCAGTTTCCCATTCACTATTTTGCGTCAATAGATATAAACATCTTTTATAACGATGCTATTCCATCTTGTCTTTATTTCTTTCTGTGTGCAAACAGTAAAAGAAATTAGAATAATGCTTTTTAGGGAATGGCGCGTAGTTCCGTGATCTGRCGCGTAGTTCCGTCGTTTCTTACTGCGATTCTGAAATGCGTTTTACAGTATCCACATGATGCGCAATAGAAACACCATATGGTGTTCACAGTAAGCAGAATCTATTGTAAATCATACAATACACGGATTAAGTATCGGTAGGGTGACGTAGTTAATGTGCCAAAACTCTAATTGGTTCAGACTGGTTGTASATGAGTGCAATTAGATCGCTACTTGAGTATGATAAAGGCACTGTAAAGCCAAAATATAATATATCTTTAAACTACCAGACTGTAGAAGAGTTTGACTTCAAATTGTTTTTGCTMTGTTCTTCCGTTCTTTTAAAGTTTGTAATGCAATTTTCTTGTTGTTTTTCGATATATCCTTTAAGTTTCTCTTCGTACTCATTTAGAGTGAAATAGGAAGAATGAAAAACAAATGAAATGMAGGGCGAATAAAGGGAAAATGAAAAACGCCAGGAGGTGGYTGATGAATTTTGAAAATAAGTAAGGAACATGAATAAATAAACGCTCTTAAAATAGTATGAAAACTCGAAAAACGAAAAAATATTATTTGGAGAATAAGAAAGAARAGTTGAAGAGAAAGAAGAAAGAGASACTGAGTAAAGTAAAGAAGTAGATACATGGGAAAATGGAAGAAAAAATGAAGGAAAGAAATGAGATGAAGAAAACAAGAAATCATCTAAATCAATGGCTTATGAATTTTGGATACAAAGTGTTATGTTTTGGTTGATGTTTTTATAACATGTTCTTGTACTTGTCACGTTTTAATATAAACTATCAGAACTAAAAGGTTCTAGACAGTCCTCTTTTGCTGTGATTCGTAAGTCCTTGATTACTTTTAAACAATAGATTRAACGCAAGCTCTACGCCAAAGAATCCCTAGTTAAGCTACTAGTCAGTTCTAGAACGAATTTAGTCTTTATTAAACTCTAGAAGAAAAAGCCTTGTCTGAATTAGTGCCAAAAAGGAAAGATAACGAATCGTATTGATTTAAGGGATTCCCTAGGAAGTGACTATTGGTTTCAGAAGCCGATTGTTAATAAACCAGGTGTTTGTGTTCTCGTATGTTTCTTGCCCAGTAAACGTGCTTGAGGCTATGAACAGCGTGTAGTTGCATGTACTTGGTCGAAGAAAACCATWGGAAGACATTTGAATTATGACAATAAATGCGTATTTACTTAACGAATTTATAATTCCCTATAAGCAYTTGAGATATGTACGGTTATTATAGACTTAGAAATACAGTAAATAGAGTAGATTCTTTATATCTACGTCAAGRCTTACTATAAGCGTGGTTTTGCAATACTGATAACAAGAAATAGACATTAATATCTTATTTTGTGTATTTTTGTGTAATATTATTTTGATGAGTTAACGTTTTTGCACTTGTATGTTGGTTAAGTGGTCTTAAAACAATCATTTTGTGGTCAGGCACTTTAATTCAAGAGTTTTTCTACGATTTCAGGGTGAAAAAAGCGAACAACCAACTCATCTATTAAAATTCTCCTTTGTACAACAAGGTATATAGATTAACGATAGTTTTAATAGGTATTTGGATCCACCCTAATCGAGATGAAATCTTAAAGTCCATTATAAACAAGCTCAATTAATAACAATAATCTAAAAGATCCTTTCGTCGGACCGCCAGATTTCACAGTGAAGTGCAAATGAGTTCCTTGCAGAACTAATCGAAAGATTATTTGTAGTTTACAGCTTTACATTCTTTTGAATGCCTTGTTCTACCTTAATGGCTGTCTTGTGAATATCTAGCTTWCTCGAGCATCAATTTTGTATCTTCTGGATAATCCTAATGCGCGCGTGCCGTTAGTTTTCACATGTTTTCAATATTCTTGTTGTTTATTTTTCAGCTCTTAACTCTTCAACCTTCTTTGCTTTATATCACTGTTTGTTTTTTACTAGCACAATAAAGGTTAATAAGCCAGACAAGATCTTCTTTGCAGCTGCGTGCAAACCAATTCACCCATCTTAGTCTCTGCCAGTTTATCCTTAAATCGTCACAGACTAAACATAAGAAAAATCCGCTTAAAACTTGTAATTCCCACTGATCAAAGTTTGCAAGTTGAACTTTTTTTTCTTACTCCTTAAAAAGAGGAGTTTTTTTTAGCGCACTTTTCTTTTTGTATATGATATAACTACTGGTTTCAAAGTCACTCTTATGCGACGAAATATCAGATATAATCTAGTAATCGGATAAACTGCCACCAACAATTTGATGTAACCGTTTTTATTTTAATAAAAACTTAAAAACACGGGTAAGAATAAACGCCGGACCAGGAATTTCCTATGCGATAGATGTATAATTACCGCTAACTGATTTTAGTTGAATCTTACAGAGAATATGGTTGAAATTGTACAATGATATTTGCGTACCGGATATAACTATTGCCCGCTCAATTAATTTAAAGATACTGCCTCAATCGGATTATCTGTTAGTCTAATTGAAAACACTCAAGGAAGTAAGAATGTCAAACAAGCGTAGATTCCATGACAGAAATGAGCTACTATACAACAAAACAAACAAGACAGCCTTAATGAATTAAACCCAACACGATCACAAGTTACAAACATTTGTCGATGGTTAGAAGTATTAATATTCCTACAAATCATATTCAACTCCCTACCGATTTTTGTAGAATTCGTTTCTTGAGGTATAGAATTAGTTGTTGGTGTTTCTGTATCTGTTCTACTTGGATTAGTATTACTAGTRTTCGTCGGCTTCCTTCGAAGTTCAATAACGGCTTCTGTTAAACACAGGGAAGCCACTACCGCGAATAGCGCGGCTAAAACTCGTTTTTTCTTAGTTGTAGTCATTATGAGTCCATTTTGGATGCTTTACCGGGTCAAAGGAAGGCAATCGGTTGCGATGTACTTGATACTGCGTTCTTACATCACAACACCTGGGTATCCTCGCTTTACGATTGGCTAGAAACTTTGAACACGATTAACAAAGCCAAGCCTTATCGATAGGTTGCCTTGGTCGCTTCAAAACACTCGCTTAGTTTCATTATTCTTTCAACAAAGTAGAATAATATTTACTAGAACTTGGTCAATTCTCTTATTCGATATGACAATGAAAGAGTAACTTTCCGACCGAAAAAATTCTATATTTTGTGTACATGAAATATTAATTGTCAGTTCTCCCGCCATGTCTGTTGTATACCTTTGAACATCTATTGGCTTACATCGTGTATGAAATTGATTAAGGAATTCTTAATATAGCATTAACATCGTCGACTAATTTTTATCGAGATGAAATGGAAGGTTTAACTAGTATATATGTGTGTAGAAAGAGAAGATATAATGTTCAATAGATCCTTCCTTTGAACACTTCAGAGCACTACACCTGYACTGTACCATTACTTGTGAAACGACTTCACTTTGTGTGACAGTTGTTGTAAGCCATGGATGTTATATCGATAAGGCACGACATCTTTTTTTCTGTGGTTTTGTGTTTTAAAAAACAAATTAACTCTTCACTGTTTTATTCAGAAAAGTGTAACATCTTCTGGAGCTATTTTTGTTTTACAGTAGAAGTAATTTGATTTATGCTGATTGGACTTGAAATCTAAATCAGTGCGTATTACWCAAGAAATTCTACAATTAGAAAGACATTTTTGATACTTCTTCGGCGATTTCAAGAACTATACTTGAGGTTCAMAATCTTTATTGATTTGATTTTAGAAATGAAATACTTATTGATGGTTAAATGAAGATAAATAAGCTTATTGAATTTGTTGCAAAAAAACGCAAAACTTCTCAAAAATAACTCATAATTCCATACTATATTTCAAAGATTAGATATCAAGGATTGCAATAAGATCATAATGATCAATGTAGCACTAATATATCAATCAGGGTCCATATTGCACTGGTACAAATTAAGAAGATTAGTGTTACCTGATGTATATAGTCCCATCAGTAGAACAGCTAGTACCACCATCATATTGGATGCACTTTAACCGCGACTCCTGTTAATAWTTAAAGACATTGTGTTAATAGCAGTGATGCAAGGTGTAAACAACCAGAGATTAAGCATCTTATTCACATGATTGAATCAAATCCCTTGAGAATAACCTATTATGCACGTAGAGCATCAATAAACCAAGTTAATCTATATTGGACTACTTTATATATCATTGACGCCTCACTTACTCTAAGACTAATGGATGCTGTTAAGCTCTGGACATATTCAATAAGTACACTATTGCTATAGAACAAAATTGCGCARATTTGTACAAAAGTSTTTGTTTGTTGCCAAAACCCATATAACAGTTCCWTTTTTCTGTTGCTGCTTTCMWRCTCATACCATTATATTGAGATTTTTCAAGCTTTCAGACTTTTCAGATTGACTTGCTATAGTAATTAAGATTGCTTCCAGGGCGTTAACAGATCAGTTTTATTACTTTTTATTCCTTTACTCCGTTTTATGCTTCATTTAAATCACTGATATGTACTTCTACGATTTTGGATAGGACTYGGTTTCACACGTATTTCGCATGTGCCGAATTCAACTACTCCATTTCTCTCTCATTTTGGCTCCAAATACAGTGAGTTCAACACAGGTCAAATTCGGCGTTTGAAGCTGAAGCCACAAAAAGAATAAGTGCTCAGACATTTGTCGTTAAAGATAAACGTAAAAACCGTAGTTATTAAAAGAATAATCTTTTCCTAACTTACATGATATATTACTCGTGATAAGTGTTATTGCTATAATCAATAAATAACATTGTTAAGTAAAAGACATGAAATAACTGGCTTAAAAAGCAAATATGAAGGTTTAGAATAATGCATGCAATAAAGCTCTTACAACAGATAACCATGTTTAAGATTCTTAATTRAAATGTCATATTTTATGAGCTGAGTTTCCTAGCGATATTTCKGGTAAATCCTACTGTCAAATCAGCTTTTCCACTTGGTGTTTTTAACAATAATTTGTTTTTATTAAGCCAAGCTGTGAATCATAAGGCGTCTAACTACTTTATGTTGGTAAATAATTAACGTCTTAATTAGGAGATGAACACTGATTTTACTTTCTTTGTGAAGGAAGACTGATAAGAGGGACTTAAAGTATCATTCTTGAGAACTTTCCTTTTAAATCGGTTATTGAAGTTTGTCATTTTCATAGGGCTTTTCAGGTCACTATATCCGCCATTATTAAGCCCCAATTGTGAATTATAGCTTATAGTAGGGCTTTTCTGATCGGTATATCCGCCATTATTAAGCCGCCATTTTGAATTATAGCTTATAGTAGGGGTTTTCAGATCACGACATTCACCATTTTTAAGCCGCCATGTTGAATTATACGTAGGACTTTTCTGACCACTGAATTATTGAATATATTATTATCATTATTTTGTAATATATATTTAATGTGTGGGAATCGGAAAATATCCTTGAGATCATTTTTAATATGAAGTTGTATAGACAAAATATTTTTTGACTCTAATTGTCCATGCTTTTAATTCTGATTGATTTGATTAAACAACCATTTTTTTTTCATTACGTAGGTGTTATTCACTGTTGATAGCATGAAACCATTGCATCTTAGTAAAAAGCTCTGCAATATCTTTAAAATATGATAATCATCCCTCGGGCAATCAATAATTCCCTGCAGAAAGAGACGGGAATCAAGTTGGCATCCGCAYCAAAGGTCGATTCTACGAATGGTGAGCTAAGTTATGTAAACTGAGTAAAGTTATTTTGTGTGGATTTTATTTGCTTGATATAAGGATATACCCAGTACAGTCAACTCTCGCTATTACGGACGCCCTCGGGACCGTAACTGAGTGTACGCAGTACGTAGCGAGAGTTCGTAGTAGCGGGAGTCACTTTCAGTCGTTTCTTTGTATTTTTTTGCCGGAGATTGAGTATTTCCTGTCCGTAATATCGAGGTGTCCGTAATAGCGGGGTGTCCGTAATAGCGGGGTGTCCGTAAGGCGAGAGTTGACTGTAGACAACTCTATTCACCCTTTTTGTTACCGGCGCCAGATATATTAATTGACAATAGCGAGGTGGATTTTGCCTCTTTCTTGATATGACAGGAAAGGAATTATACCAAACGATCATATATGAAATCGGCGGCCATCTTGAATTTAGACTAATTTGAATTGTATTCGGCACATGCGAGATCAGTGGCGTTTAAGGCCGTCCTATTGGTCAAAAT